CCGCCCCCGCCTCCCACCCTTCCATCGCGATATACACGTAGCGCGCATAACGCCAGTAGCGTATCAACTTAGGCCGAGCGACATACCGCTTTGAACATGGGGGTAAAGGGAGAGTTTTGGGGCTCGATCGATCTACCTACTCGTCTGAAAATTCAATTGGCCCGTGCGTGTACGCAATGTAGCCTCACAGGTCGTTCATTCGTTTACATTATTGCACGGCGCCCTCTGTCGACCACAGAAATCTTTTATAATTGTACAAACACCTCGTTGAGATTTCGATTTTCTACTTGTACATTGATTTAGTCTTCTATGGTTGTATTTGAAAGATTGGAAAGAGTAGATTCGGTTTGCAGAAATGCTTGGTTGAAAGTGGTTTCAGGGCCAAGAGTTAATGACCGATTGGTCATGACCATGATAATATCCACGGTAATGCTTCGTACGTATTTGTACGGCGTGGTAACAGTTGTGCTTTAGATTGGAGTGGTCGGTGATTTTATCATCGATAAATACAGTCCGATCTAATTCCGTGAGGTCTGGGAATGCAACGGTTTGTTATAGGGCCACTTCAAGGGCAATAATTTAAATCGAATGTTTCTGGAGAATTTCACTCTCATCCTCTATGAATAGCACACGCATCTCTCGATTATCCCTACTTTATCGTCTGTACGTAATTAGCATAGGAATTATCGACACTCTTATTCGTACTATTCATCTAAACTTATGTAGTATATTACACGTAACAATCAACTTTTATCGTAATATATCCACGAAAAACTTATTTTTACGCTTATTGTAGCGAAGAAGGTCGAATCTCTGTTAGGAAATGTAATTAATAGGGGAGATTGGTTAATTAAGATATTTAATTTACAAATGATTGTCTGAAAATTCAGTCAGGTACTAAGCGATAAGGTAATTAACGTAAGAAATGTGTTTGGCGAATTCGTGGCGCCCGGTGGTTAGGATCGGCTGGCTCCGCGTATTACCGTATCCTCTGAATTGCCGTCAGTCGCGTACGGCTCGTCGGACCGTCAACGTCGTTGTGGGGGTATAGTGTTGTACGTACGCGTATGCCTACGTACGTGTTCGTGATTCTTCATGAGTGTTACGTTCCTCGGTATCGCGGTCATTTTCGCTTTTCGTTGCGGGAAAGTGTGAGAGGAAGTAACACCACAGTGTCTTCGTGGTATTGAGACAGATACAACGATCATGGATGCCTGGATGTACGAAGTGGTAGGTGCTGTCCACACATAACCTCTCTCCTCTTCTCGTTCGATCTCGTGGCTTTGTTTACGTTGCTGCGCGCACGTTCCTTGCTGCTTTCCGTTAATCCCTCCATCGAATACCAAGCAGGATTTCGATCGTTTCGAAATGGCAAGCCGTTTCATGCAAGTATTTATAATATAGGTTGGTTTCTTTCTAGGAATGATAAAAAAAAGAGTTTGTTTTGAAAAAGTTTTTCTATTCTTCGAATCGAAGTTGATGGGAATGGGGCTTGTTTTTGGGTGTCTCCCGTGAATTTTGCTGTTTCTGCGTGTATCGATATATTTGCGATCATAGATCGCGTCTATTATGTATGTGGTACGTTTGAACTCACATGTTTCCCGATGCAACAAGAATACGTATTATCTTTGTCGTGTATCGTCAGTCAGCTTTAACGACAACTCGGTTATTACGTTACGACGTGTCTGTTAGGTAATCTATTCTGTAATTCGCCGATCATTTTTCCACGCCTGCCGGTTTTTAACGTTACCTCTTCGTTCGCGATCGCTTCGATTTTATAATCCGCCATTTCCGTCGATCGTACTCTTTTAATCGTGGTTCTTTTCAGTTAAACGATTCAGGGTAACACCTGTGAAATATTTTCCAACTAGATTTATGATTTATGCTTCAATTTTAGAATGCTACATTGATATACAGCTTGAAATATTTTACACCGTATATATATAGATGTATATGTGAGCGTTACATGAAAAAGTTGTTTGTTTTCATGGCTGTGGAACTGCTAAACCGGATGACCCCTAGTCGAGGAATGTTTACCAAAGTCTTAGATCCTGAACATTCCTCGTAATTTCGATTAGCTTTCCTTGTGGCTTTGCAATTTGTTCGAATCGGTAGAAAATATTGCTTGTGACGTTCATTCATAGTGCGATAAGGAAGGAATATCGGAATGTCGTTCGATTATTCTTGAAATATGAAAATGAACGTGTAATGTTAATCTGTGGCTGCATTTCGTATTATTTCAAGTATTCCACGATAAATTGTCTTTCGAACGACCCGATGTACAAGTATACAATTTTTCTACGACAAGGATTACAACAAAAATAATTTTAGGTTAGGTTATTTAGTGGGTCTGATTCATTCGAACATTTATCAAATTTTTCATCGTTGATTTTTTTCTTTCGATAAAATTGCTCGTATCTTCAGAAAATGTTTCTTTCCGTCTATACATAATCGTAGCTATTCACACAGGGGCCACGATAATTTCGTAATGGCGTATTTCGTGGCTTGTGTGCTGCTGGTCGGTTGGACGCGTTAGACGCTCATACGCACCTACACTCACACGACACCAGGCTTATGCAATTCCACGTGCGTAAAGCGTAGCGGAACATGGAATCGCTTGTTCGTTTTACCTTCGATTTTACTTGGCTCGCTTTTTGATCTCTGCGCAGACATATTTGTGTTGACACGTACTTGAACTGGATCGATGTGAACGTCGATAAATCGATTCCTTTTCAGGGGATAAATATTGGCCACGTTTTTTTTATCGCTCGCTGCTTGCTGAAAGATAATCTTGCGCGAAATTTCGACTTCGATCGCATGAATAAAGGGAAAGATAGGCCTGTCAGTGCAACGGAAATAAAATTTCGAATTCCTACGTGTGGAGAGTCGGAGACTACTGCAAAAGTTAATAAAAAAAGAAAGAAAAAAAAAGAGATATGTAGTCGTCGCGAGGATGCGTCAGCCGATATTTTCGGACACTCCCGTCTTCTTACCTTGTATTAGAGAAGTTTTCAAATCGTTTCGAAGGCTCGAACCGCTTAAATACGATCCTCGGAACTTTATGGATTCTCAGCGCGGCTGAGATGGATTTATTTTCGCGACGAACGCGTATCCTTTCGGAGCTATTTTTAATAAGCCTGCAGGCTTCGAGAGATCGTGCTGCTTCTCGCTAGAGACTGTGACGAATATTCGTAAATCGACTACTATACATTCGCGATATCTCGAAGATCGGAAAATTTGAATGGTAGCGTGCAAATAAAAAGGAAGAGGAATACATTCGAGTGAATCGAGCAGCAGCGTTACAAAGACTGTTTTCACTAAGAGGCGGTCACTCGGTGTGTATGTGTGTTACGTGTGTGCTCGTGGCGAAGGCCTCATGCTTCGCCTTAATTCTTTCTCTCTTCGCATCTCGGTTACTGTACACGCTGTGAAATTACCCGCGATATCTGCGTGCGCGCGCACGTTCATTACGTTCTGCTCGTATTCGTACACGCGTGTTACGCGATTACATTGATTCGCTACGTATTCTACGAGTGGTGAATTCTTAGAGAGTGGCAAGCAAAATTTTATCGAAACGAGATGAATCTCTGCGAGGATGGATAGGTTAGGTGAGGCGTGTTAAAGTGATTTCGGGAATACATACTTTGCGTAGTTATCCGCAAAGAACGTGGATGGGTTTCTTATCGAGTGGCGGTTGTAGCGGGGCGTTCACCGACAGGCCACCATGATCGACGATTGGTCGCGCGATGGGTGTTGGTACGGTAATCATCGACTTTCGGAACCCGCGCTGTGAGTGGGGGGGGTTGAAGTTTGAGGCAACGAGACAGGTCGGTGACGTCATCGGCGTGGCCGGGCCAGCCCTAACCTTCGACAATAAGCGAAACAGGCCAAATTCTTTTACGTGTGATTTTTCAATCGAGAAAAAGCACACGTACATACGTGCAACGTGATTCCCGCTATCCATATTTTTTCCTTCACTGGTTCGTTGGAATTAATCTGACGCTGAGCACGTTCGTTGATTATTTATGAATATTTAACGCCTTTAGAATATTTATTGGATAATTCGAGGAGATAAATCAACCTGTAGGATTAAGGACTTTTCTGGATATTTATGGCGCGAAGGAATTTACGTTCAAACAAAACGATTTGATTCGAGTATTGTACATACGTACATAAGAATGTAGAGACTTGAAAACTGAAAGGCCGCGCGTCGTTCTCGAATTAGCACATGCGATAGCCGCGATGTTATTATGCCGACTGGTTGTTGCGTATATATTTTTTTCTTTATTTATTGGATAAACTTCGCCCGCGAAATCGGAACATATAGTTGTGTTACCGAAGCTCTCTGTCCTTGACCGCGACCCAGGGTCTTCATCCCTGGGAAATCGATTTGTTCTCTGAACTTCTAATTCTGCAACCACCCACGTTATATAGGCAATGCAACATTTCAACTTAGTTGAAGATTGTAATAATTCAGGGTCGTCGGCGATCGACTTGTTGCGAAATAACAACCGTGTGCGATGCTTTTCTTTTATCGGAAATTTATCCGAAGGAAGTAAACATCCGCTTGTAACTCGAGAAAATAAGATGGTGTCCGGTTCCTTTTCATCATCTTCGATCTCCACGGTATGTCTCGAGTTATCGGGATAAGATTGCGCAATCTTCGGGAGTATGTACTTCCGTTCCGTGGGATGTATCGTTTCGCTAAAAATTGGGCGTGATTCAACCAAGATGTTTCCCCACTTGGTTTTCCTTCGTTTATTAACGATTGGAACGACGACGATGCGTTTCTTATCGCTCTCAACGTGTTCGAGGTTCAGATAAACGTTCCTAGTAATTTCAAACGTGGTGTAAAAAATTCTACACAAACAATGGAAACTTGTAAGCGTCGAATTCGCCGTTAATTGTAATTCATTCTAGTTTCGATCGAATCGAAACGGTTCGTTGCGTTTCAATTTGTCTGTGTTCGATCATACTTATACGAAATTCCACTTGGTTCGTACACGTAATACTTTTCCATAGAAGCGGAATGAGCGTTCCTCGATTACGTTACTACGAACGATCGATGATGGCTCGCTTTTTTTTCTCTTTTTCTTTTCTTTTCATCGACGACAAAAACGAAACGCCCTAATTTACGGCAAGGACTTAAAAAATAAAGCAGTCGTGACTTCTTTTCGTTTACGTCGCTTCTGCTATCTAGGCTTTTCCCCACTTATATAATCGACTCATTTAAAAAGAAGTTGGACGAGTCCCCACGCATCTTGAAAATTTCGATATTGCACAGTGGCTCCTCGCGTACCTGAAGAAGAAGAACCACGCTTTCAGATACCCTATAGACTTCCTCCACGTCAGGATTACATTTCCGTCCGGTTGATTCTTTATTTAAAAGGAGTTGGGAGTTGTCGTTTTACCTACCGGTCGTCGAACATCGTTGAATAATGAATGGAATTGTTACTCAAGACCGTCGATCGTAATTAAGCCCGCGTTTATCGCGATAGAAATAAAATTACGGCTTAACCGGTGCAATCGATATTCAGGTCACGGCCTCCTCTAAAAATGGATGCTCGATTACGGGCTTCGTTTCTCTCTCTCTCTCCTGTTTTTCTTTTTCGGCTTGTGTGCGTACAACACACACGTACGTATGAAAATTGCCGAAAAACATCTATGAAACATTGTATGCAAGGCCAACGGATTGGCCAACATCGTGTGTTCTACGCAGAAATCACTGGAGCGCGCGCGGAACAAATGTAACATAGTGAAGTTAGGTATTTCGCGGGAATCTGAAGGTATGCGGGTGTTAAGGATTCAACGAGGAAAAGGCATCGTGGGTATTATCTAGTTGGATGATCGCACGGAACACGCGTAGTAACGCGACGCGATCGCCAGGAGAAATCTGTCGAATTCTCCTCCAGTCAGATATGTATGTATTCCGTCAGGAGATTTACGCCACAGTTCCTCGTCCAAACTTGTCAGAAGCTGTTGGCGAACGCAGATGAAACGAGGGAACGCGAGCAGTAGGCAGTCAAGCTACGAGGCGCATCCGAACACGAGGAAGCTGTGAAACGTAGCAAGATGGATAAAGACAGAAATTGAAGCTGTCGAGAGAAAGATGGAAAGCAAGAGAGAGAGAGAGAGAGAGAGAGAGAGAGAGAGAGAGAGAGAGAGAGAGAGAGAGAGAAGAGCTAGCTCGCGGCGTGCATTGAGGAGGGGGGAAACGCAGAGGGGCGACAGTAAGCCGGAGGGGTGGGGGGAGCGAGTGAACGAGTCAGACAGAGGGACTCAAGGTCGCGTTCTGTCGGCTGTTTCCGTCGGAGTTCGGCGGCTAAAATTGTGTGTTGGCGCGGTTCTGCGGCCTTCGCGAACCTGGCCGCTTCTCTCGCAGAAAAGTCAAGTTCAAGGCTAACCAGATGCCGCGATACACTCGTTTCTTTCTCTCGCTCTCGCTCTCGCTCTTTTTCTCTTTTCCTTTTTCCATTCCACGATCCTTCCTTCCGTCTGCGTTTCGGTAACTGCTTAATCGAAAGAGGGGCGTAAGAGTGAAGGAGGAGGAGAAGAATGGGAGAAAATAAGAATCGCTCGGTGACTCGACGAGAGCGGTGGCGAGGCGAATGGAGGCGTGCTTACGCAATCTCTTTGTCTCTTTAAACTTTCCTTTTTTCTTCTTATTCTTTTCTTCGATCACGTTCTTCGTTTTCCTCCTCGCTTTTTTCTGTCGGTGTTTCGCGGCTATTTTTTCTTTGTAACGAATACGAGACGAGAGGGGAAGAGGTTGTATCATCGTTATCGCTACGTCTCGTGGTTCATCGTTACATCGTATCTCGCGGTCCGTAGTCCTTCGCGCGCGCACACGGCGTGTCGGCGTTTTTATTTCATTAATCGAAAACGTGGGAGACACGCGCGTCAAGCAATTCGCACGACTAGTCAAGTTCGAGGTTAACCAGACGACGCTTCGATCTTTCGTTCCCTTTTTTTTATCCTACTTCATTTTTTCTTTTCGCTTTTTCTGTGTAATTCCCCAGCGATATCGTTCTTCCTCCCACCCTCGCGTTCTTATAGGTTATAGTCGCGCTCGACATTAACGACTCTCTTTAACCTTCTTTTTTTCTTCGCGATTTCTTCGAGAATCAGCTGCAATCTGATTAAACGCCTTTTTTCCCCGTCGAACTCGAGTAACGACGCGCGTGTTCTCTAATAAAATCGATAGACGTGTTCACACGCGTCGAATACACCGAGTAGTAGCGTTCGTTTCAACTCTCGGATTGGTTATGTTGACTCGCGCCGCAGATTCGTCCTGCGAGTTCTGTTAAACAATCGAACGATACGAACAGATGTCGTCGACGGTAACAGTTCGCCGTTGCGAGATAGATAGATACAGGAGAGACGTGTCTGGCCACACCGTATAAATCTTGAGACGCTTCTCTTGCATGCGATCGTAACTGCATCTCGCAGAAAAGTCAAGTTCAAGGCTAACCAGATACTCTCCGC